CCTCTCTCAGATTTGTTTATTTCGTGATGATATCTTCAATTCTCTAATTTTGGTGAATATTTTTGTCATTTTTGGTAAAAAGTGATATTTTTGACTTCTTGTTAAAAACGGCAAGTCCGATTGCTTTGATATTACATATATAGGTACTACATGTGGACCTCTCTCAGATTTGTTCATTTTGTGATGATATCTTCAATTCTCTAATTTTGGTGAATATTTTTGTCATTTTTGGTAAAAAGTGATATTTTCGACTTCTTGTTGAAAACTGTAAGTCCGATTGCTTTGATACTATTCATATTGTTCATTTTCTAATGATGTCTTCAGTTCTTTAATTGAAATGTGCATTGCTAAGAACGGAGGTATTTCAGCCGACAGGCTGCTCGTTTCTATCAATTCTATGCCTCAGTCACAGATAACTTTTGTGTAATTTTGTTCCCATAAATGCCATTAAGTCACAATATAGGGTTTTGTACATATGTATATTTTCGTTATTGTACTTACATTAATAACACTGGTTATGTTTTAAAATATATTGTATATTGTATTTATAGGAAAATTTACTTTTAGATGATGACCAAAGTATTAAATTGATAGATTTTGGTCTTGCTGCAAAACCCAAGGTAATGTGTTTGATTGTTTTTTGCATCTTTCTGTATTCCCACTTTTTAGCTCCGCTGTCGACTTTGTTGAGCGGAGCTTATCCATCGTCGTCCGTGTCAATGTTTTACTTTTTCGACTTCTTCTTGAAAACTACAAGCCTGAATGCTTTGATACTTGGTGTATATGTACTTTGGGTAGACCTCTCTCAGATTTGTTCATTTCATGATGATATCTTCAATTCCCTAATTTTGGTGAATATTTTTGTCATTTTTGGTAAAAAGTGATATTTTCGACTTCTTGTTAAAAACCATAAGTCCAATTGCTTTTATATTACATATATAGGTACTACATGTGGACCTCTCTCAGATTTGTTCATTTTGTAATGATATCTTTAATTCTCTAATTTTGGTGAATATTTTTGTCATTTTTGGTAAAAAGTGATATTTTCGACTTCTTGTTAAAAACTGCAAGTCCAATTGCTTTGATATTACATATATAGGTACTACATGTGCCATGCATGGCTTGTTCACATTGATATTTTTTACGTATTAATTGCGTTGTTTGAAGTGTTATGTTAAATAACAAAATAACGCATGAGAATTGAGTTACACAAAGCTATGGATATTTTTAGCTCCGCTGTCGACTTTGTCGAGCGGAGCTTATCATATGAGTGATTGTCCGTCGTCGTCGTCCGTGTCAATGTTTTACTTTTTCAACTTCTTCTTGAAAACTACAAGCCTGAATGCTTTGACACTTGGTGTATATGTACCTTGGGTAGACCTCTCTCAGATTTGTTCATTTCATGATGATATCTTCAATTT